ATCAGTTTGCATACTGAAATTCTGGTTTTTTTTTTAAATTCTGTATTCCTTTTTTCTTTTTTACTATTTATTCTCTATTTAAAAAAGACAAAATAGAAGATATATGGATAGAAAATAAAGGGAAGTCCAACTAATACTATTTCCTTGTTTCAAAAATATTTTAATATATCTATCAGTTTGTTTTATTTATATTACTAATTTCTCTTTGTTGGAAGGAAAGTTTTGTTATTTTCTGCTTGCTTCCTCTTGGCGAGAGAATGCCTCTCATTATGGTGTACGCTGAGTAACTATTTTTAAGATTAATACCCATGGTATTAACTACTTTCATTCTTTTATTGTTTTGCTTTGTTTTTTAATTTAAAAACTTCCTTCTTGGGTTTTTGTATTTCTCTCTGAAGAATGAACCCTGGAAATGATTTGTTGATGAAAGGACACTGCGCTGAAGCAGAGCCTTATGTAGGTCAGCTTTTCCTGAGGGCTGCACTTGGCCCGGTGCGGGGCGCGGGGCGGAGCGCGTGAGGACAGAGGCGAGGCACGGTGGCCCTCCGTGCACTCAGCCCGCATTGTCCCTTGCACTTAAGGCACAGCTACGTTACGCCCTCGGCCATCCCTGCCCGGGACATCTTAACCCACATACAGCAAAGGGGCTGGTAAGATTTCCTCGCTCTGGCGCAGCCAGATGCCGCCTTAACCTTGATGACGAGCCACCGTGCTGTGTCCACACGCATCTGTGAGTGTCAGGAGCCAGTTTTGCCTGGGTCTCAATTTACCTTTTCAGGCTCTATCATTCTCATATCTCTCTAAGACTATTTTTGAATCGTCTAATGTTTTCTAGTGAAATGTTGGAAGCAGATACAGCACGGAAAGAAAGCCTCATCCCGTCCTCCACACCTCAAGCCATCAGGGAGCTTGCCCCTTACTTCAGTAGAAAGCACTCTTGGGATGCGGTGCCATCCAAAGTCTAGCAAGAAGGGTGACGCAGACTTCTCTACGGCCACGCCCAGCGGCTTACAGTCACAAGCAGGGCAAGTGTGGTCCAGGGCAGGCTGCCGTGGCAAGGCCAAGCCAAGCCGGTGTACCAGAGGGCCGGCATACTTTCAAACCTGACTCTAAGTTCTTCACTGATAATGCAGAACTTCATGCTGATAATCAGGTGAATCCAAGATTCAAGGTCAGAATTGCTCTCCGGGTAGCTATGTTGTGCCTCAGTTTTCTGGGATGGAGAACTGTACTCCCAGTTCTGCACGTGTCCACTTTGTAGGAGTTTCTTACCACATAACTGTGTATGCTTCATGTACTTTACTGATATCAGGCACGTGTCATTCTGGGAAACTGAGGCTCACAGAGGCCGTGTCCCTGGGCAGAGACCCCGTGCCCTGTCCTGAAGCGGCCCAGCCCACTCTCAGCTCGCTACCTGCTCTGCGAGGTCTCTCAGGCTGGTGGGTCAGCCCTGGAGCCTGGCTTCCACCTCACCCGAGCAGAATCTCCATCAAACACGCAGCTGCGGTTTCCCAACTAACCTTCAACACGGAATGACCACACGCTTTTCGATTTCAGAGAATTTAGACATGACTACTTCTATTTTCACTATTTCGGAGCTTTTCTTTAAGTGACTGACTATAAACATGTAGAAATCATCATTTTCCTGGATCTGAGTCTCAAAAGAGGGCCAGTGATAAAATTCTTACCCGACGCGTCTGGTCGCTAAGGTCCTCTAGGTCCAGCCCTGCGCTGCCCTAAGCCTGCGCACACTCTCTCGGACACACCGGACGCCCCAACAGCAGGAAGCTGGCGCGTGTCCCCTGCCCCGTCCGCGCTCTTCCCTTCGCGCCTCCCGAGCGGGCTGCGGGCCCTCCACGCTCGCATCCAGAGCCCGGTGCGGATGATGAGGGCGTAAGAGGAAGCGTGAGAGGGCGAGGTCCTCCGGAGGATCCAGGCTGCCTGAAGGTCCCCTGGACAGCATCCGGGGACAGGTGTGCGGCGCAGAGCCCCGCGAGCCAGCTCGTCGCTTAGGGGCTGGCGTGCCAGCTACGAGCCTCCCGGGACAGCCTCCCGTTCACGCAGCGGACGCCTCGTCGCCGCCTTCTCGGACTCAAAGCCACGCCAGTGCGCAGCGGTACACCTCTCCAAGACAGAGGACTCAGACCTCGCTCCGAGCTGTGTGTGGGGCGCAGGCTTCCCCTGGGCCGCCCCTTGTCCTCCAGCCACGGCTGGCTCACCTCGATTCCGCGCTGTAACTGTCTTCACTTTATGTTTATTGTACGAGAGGGCACCAGAGAGCCAGGTTGACCTCAACTACGCTGTCCTGAATTGCACCAGCACGATTTAATAAAGACCGTTATAGTTAAAACATTACACGTGTAGCTGCAAATCTACTTATTTTAAGCATAACTTTATATATAATATTTTTACAGACAAAAATATATGTTTTAGAACCATCCTATGCATCTGTATGTTCAGTAGCAAACTTACAGTCAATTATACTTTATGGCAAACATAATAAATTACACATTATACTGAATTTTTTGAAGGATAAAAAAAGGAACAATTCATTATGTTTAAAATACAATGTTAATTCATTACTTCAAATAAAAAGGTGAATAGCCATTATATTAAATTCACTTACTTCAGGCTTACATTCATTTGATATTCACATGGAACTTGCTACTTCTGTAAGTATAGCAGTGAAGTGAGCTTATGACACAACTTGAAGGCTCGTTCTTGGCATCTCAGTCCAGGTGCAAGCTCGATGTTACAGTATGTAGGAAGCAACTAAAATTACCCAGGAAACACATTACAGTCATTGTAAAAGTATGAAAATACTATAGCTGTTTTATCCTATGTTTTAGTCACAGGTTTCACCACCTAAGCTTAAGATAGCTGGAAACATGTTGGCTATTTCATTGAGGATGAATTGTGAAGATCGAGTCCAATGTGCAAAGCTGGGTGCATTTGGTGGCGCCCACACCCCGCGGGCAAGCTGAGCTGGCAGCGCTCTCCCTGGGGACTGCTGGGAATTTCTGCACAAGTGGGCATTCTTTCCAATTTTAGACTTTAAGCTATAACCTTATATCTTAATAATCTAGTTTGAGAATAGATGCAGAATAATGAGTTTACTTTATTTGCTTAAATTATTTTTGTGGTTTTAATATATTGAATGGACTGGGTTGTTTCTCAGTTAGTGTCTGAAAATATTGGACCCCACCACTCACAGGTGCCAAGAACATGCACCAGACGAGCATGCCGTGGAATTGGGCTGACGGATGCTCACACTGATGAATAAAGGGATTCTTTTTTCATTTAGGTAGTTAAGATTTCAGTAAAGATTTTGAATGCAATGTCACATTCATTATGAGGTTTTAAGTGCTGAAAGTATTATGGCATCTAAAATTGTTTAATTTTAGATTTTAAAAATTATCCTTGAAATTTAATTACTATTTTGTGAAAAAGGAGATGTATTATTCAGTGACTTGAGATAATTCCAATTAAAATGTGTAAGATGAAATCCTAAGAGTCAAGAACACACCCTTCACACACGTGCTGCCTAAGACTGAGTTAGCATCGCCTTGGTGCCGACTGCAGAAGAGACACCACCTTCAAGGCATGCGCAGTTTCTGCAGCGCGGCCGGCTCCCACCCGGGGAGCCTGCCCCTGGCTCTTCTCAGCTCATCGGCTTCTTCGTGTGTTCAACCTGGTTCCAGGCTATTCTCTCTAACAGTGTCTGGGGGGACGCACTGAGTCCTACATGATGCAAGCTGTGCCTCTGTGTAGTGTGTGTGTGTGTGTGTTTGCATTTTAACTCCAGAAAAGGAGCAACATAATCTTTAACGACTGACTTCACAAAAGCTATGTACATACGATACGCTAAAATTGATGGCTTCTTTCCCTCTAAGACTTAGTTTTGCTTTCTAGTTTCTGCCACATTTTGAAATTCACCGCATGCTTTTGTGGTAGTGATGTTTGCAGTCCTGGAAACTGGCTTATGTGAAAAAATTTCGCAGTGTAGACTCCTCAATGCTCACTGGTCTCATCAGTGAATATCCAAAAATGAATAGGGCTTGTGTCTCTGGGTTTGCTATGATGACATGCTTTGGGAAATGCTGGTAACGAGCTTTCAGCGAAACTCCTGCTACTTTGCCAGTGTCTTTTCCATCAAGCACAACTGGTGCCCACAGTGACCTCTGCCCTGCAGCTACAGAGCTCCACTCTTCCAACCACTTTCTGCTCGATGTCCTGGATTTATTGTTGTCAAGTCAGCTAATCATCTCCTGGCACCCCAGGGACCTTTCTCTCTGTACTAGGGACATACTAAAGGAGTCTAGTGCTCTCTTGCATCACAAACAGACTCTCTTTTCCTGACATTTTGCACACAAACAAGGCCACTCTTCATTAATTTTTATGTACTTGATTTGCCTACATCGAGAATAATTTAGGTTATAACTAGTAGTGTAGCAGACCTCAAGGCTGGGAGGTAGCACAATGGTAGAGGGCTTGCCCAGCTTGTGCAAGGCTCTGGGCTTGATCCCATGTTCAGAAACAAAACAAAACAAAAAAAAACAAAGCAAATGCTATAGCTTAGACCACGAAAGAGGGGGCCAACCATCAGCGTGAGACGCATCAGTGGCTCCTTTATCAACCACTCACTGGAGCGACTCAGCCTCTGCATCTGCAGTCGAGCTGACTGTCAGTGATGAATCCAACCATGTGCATAAAGCGTGACCAATTTCCCTTTCTAAGGCTCTCTCCTGTGCACTCCCTTTGGCCAAGATACAGACGAATCCTCTGTCCAGTCATGTGTTGATTGGGGGTGTATCCACTTTTATACCTAACAGAACTATCTAGCATTGAAACTGAAGCTACTACAGACAAGAAATAAAGTTGTTGCTTCACAGCTATTACTTCTAGCTTGGCATGTATTTGTGTGATTGCACGCTATTTTTCCTGAACTCTTCTTTTAGGACTTATTTTTAACTTTTTCTGCAGATTTTTTGTCCTCTTGAACTCTATTTATATTTTAATATATACTTTATATGTCACAAACCACCTTCCTAGGACTACCTTCCTACCGTGCTCTGTTTGGACAAGCAGCAGCAGGAGAGATCATTGTAAATTGTCCTCAGTTCCCGACCCTTCTGGGCTGGAATCCACATTGAGGAGCGCCTCTTTGTTGGTGAATGTTGAGCTCAGAGTTAGGCTCTGTCGCGGTTTCACGGGTGCAAGTTCATCCAATTTAATATTTTCATTTCTGACCAAAATTGTCTTGTCCATGTTTTCTTCACTGTGCCTTGCGACAACAGCATCAAACATGTCCAGCTTTGGTGGCAATGTTCCACTTTCAAACAGGTATTTGGCCAGATAAGAGACACAGATGTTGATGAGGAAGGAGGTCACCATGGCGAGGGTCTTGAATGGGAACCTCTGGTTATAAATACCGTTGTCCATGTAGTACCCAGGGTAGAAGATCAGAGGCTGCAGGTACAGATAGGGCTCCCCTCCTGTTATTCTCAGGAAGATTCCAGCCACATACCCTGCCACTGCCCCATATGTGTTGGTCCCCTTGATGAAGAGCACACACAGGAGCTGCGGGAAGATGATGATGTAGACCAGGTCGGAGCTGAGGTACCAGAGCCCATACACAGTCTTGGTCAGCAGTGCCATGGCCGTAGCAGACGCTCCGAACACAAAGACTGTGATTCGCATGACCCAGACAATTTCTTTGTCTGATGCCTAAGAAAGAAAGAAACTAAGAGTGAGATTTGCTTCTAAAGTGTTGGCTCATTTAGGCAAAGAACATGATGCATCTCCAGGCTTGGAAACTGGTCTAAAGAAGACCTTGGGTGAAATGGCCCAGGGTATGGGTACAGCCAGCCTAACCTGCAACCCCATGCAATGAGCTGGTAGCCTCCTGTGTCATCTGGGGGAGCATCTGTGCACACCATGCCTGGAGCCAGCCCCTTGAGCCCCTGCTGTGTGCACAGAAAAAGGTAGATGAGCTGACCTGGCACCACTGGGGACAACAGGCAGGGAGGGTTTCACTTGTGCCTGTTAAGCAGCAGACCTTGGGTGGCACCCAGAGAGAGTGCCAGCGCCATTCTTATTTGCTCTCTCTGAGGAACATCACATCTGTAGGCTAACCAGGCCCTGAAGGGCATCTCCTTAGTAAGAACCATTGGGGCACTTCACTATGGACATAGGAAACCTGGAGGTAAGATACAGCCTGGGAAGAGGGGTTTTTGGCCTTTCAGGGATCACTGTGGCCATGGTCCCAGACAACAACTGTCAGTGCCACAAGGACAGCCAGATTCAGGGGACATTTATGAAGAGGCTGTGACACAAGAGCTGATGAGAAACAGTCCCAATGCTGCACCCTGGGTGACAGGTCCTCAGCTCCTGTCATTTGAGTCCATGCTGGGATGTTTCAGGCTGCACTGTTCTTTGATCAGAAAGATAGAAAACCTAAATTATAGCGACATGACTGAATCTCTTAAGGAACAGATTTGTTCCCTTAGTATTAACTTGAATTATAACATGCATTGTTAATATCTATTTATAGTATAAATATACTCACTGTTACTTAAACTTGGATGCTTAATCAAAGCAGGGTCAGGCTTTAATATAGTCTCTCTCTCTCGCGCGCACTCTCTCTGTCTCTCTCTTTCCCCCCTACCTCTTTCTCTCCCATCCATCCATCCATCCATCCATCCATCCATCCATCCATCCATCCATGGGACCAGAAGTACTTTAGATTACAGGATTTTTGGATTTGGAAATAGTCACACCTACAGACTGAGGTATCCTGGGATCTGAGTCTAAAAGCGATCCATGTTTTGTATAAATTTTCTACACATAGCCTGGAGATAATTTTATATAATATTTTAAATTTTGTTATAAAGCAGTCTTGTGGCGTGGAATCCCCCATGTCAGTACTCAGAAAGTTTCAGGCTGTGGAACATTTGAAGTGATGCATTTCCAGAAGAGGGAGACCCGACCGGTAGTACCGCCCACACAGCTCATGCAGTGGCAACAAACAGCCACAGCACAGCCAGCCACGGGTCAGGACCCCTGCTCACGTTTTGCCTGAAGGAGAGCTGGTAGATGTTCCGTGCAAACATTGAACTGGCCGACAGGATGGATGAGTCGGCCGAGGACATGACGGCGGCAGACACCGCACCCAGGCCAAAGAAGGAGATGTACACGGGACAGAGGTACTGCAGCACGATGGGCAGGATCATGTCTGCCTCGCCCTTGTCCTTGGGATTCACCGCCCCAAACGAGGTCTGGTTCCAGTCTGTTGAGCAGAAATAATGACTATAACACACTCCTGGGGCCGTGTACCCTTTGTGGGGGCTCAAACTGTTCAGAGGTAGTTTGACAACAAATTCAGTCACACGTGTTGTGCCTGGAGGCAGGACTTCCTGCGTCCGTCAGGGACTCTATCTCCTGTGTCCTTGCTTCTGAGGGTGCGGCCCTCCTACAGCGCGTCTGGATTGTGCTGCCCAGACCTGCAGGTTCTTTGTGTCTCTGTGGTACTGCATTACACAGAATCTCAGAAAACAAAAGCTACCGCTCTTACTGGAATCGCATTTCTTTCCCGCCACTTGGAGCTGGAAGGACACGTGTGGCCTCTTTCCTTGGGCTGTCTTACCTGGGTGCAATTGAGCACGCAGAAGAACACAGCTGGCCTTCTCATCCGCCTGCTGCTGTGCACCCGTCTGGTTTGGAGCTCCCCGAGCTCTGCTTTTCTCTAATTAAATTTGATGCTGTGTAGAATCTCACTCACCAGAAATGGGAGCAGTGAAAGTAAGGGCAGTCCCTTTTTATTGAATAAAAACTACATTCTTGGAGTTGAGATTTTAAGGGGGGCTCTAAACTTGGCACGGTGAGGCAACCTGATACGTAAGTTTAGCTTTGAATTTATCCTGTTTGCTGTTTAATTATAGCACGTATTAAACTTGGGGAGCCTGCATGCACGTACGCATCAGTGTAATTCCCTTTCTTTCATTTTTACTTTTTAGACAATGTCTCACTAAGTTCTCTAGGCTGTGCTTGAATGTGCAAGCCTTCTGCTTCAGGCCCCAGAGTAGCTGGGATCACAGGCGGAGACCACCATGCCCAGCTTCACAGTTCATTTTTTATTTGCTCAACTTTCTTCATGTTGTGATGATAAGTAAGGTGGTTTCTTTTGATTCTACCATGATTTTCTTTCTCTATTTCCCTCTATAATTGCATTAAAGCCATGCTTAGATGACACCAACTCTAATGCCTTGAGATGTCCTTACACCAGAAATACCAATCGAGAATGTGCGCCCCGTCCAAGGGGGAGGTGGGCCTGGAGCTGTTTGGCTAGCCTGTCATCCCAACATGCACGAGGGTCCATGCACCTCCCCAGAGCCTGGGACCCTCCTCTGTGAAATAAATCCAGCCTTTTCTCAAAAACATCACACACAGCACTCCACTGCTGTCAATGGTCTGCTTACCACCAAGTGTCTGTCACAGGCAGACAACTGGAAGGGAAGGGGTGCCAAGCCCCAAGACTGCTCTTTCCTGCACGAGACAGCCCAGTGGCCAGCTCTACTGGCTGAACGTCAGGCACTGTGTGCAGACCCTCCTGGACCACCCTTAGCAGGCACAGCGGGGTGAGATGTGAACCTTCTCTACGCTGTTTTATTCTCCTGCACCTAGCGAATGCCTCTGTGCTTGGGTCAGCGGGTGCCTCTTCACTGGATGCATAGTCGATTAGAATCGCCCTAAGTGCAGCTCTGAGCACAGATGGTGCTCAGACGAAGCCTGCAGCCACAGCGCGGCGTGCACAGCAAGGTGGTCTGAGGTTTATTCTCTGAAGCTCGAACCCCTGGGGTGTGCCCCTGAATACCTCGTGGGCTGCTTCTGGAGGGGCTTCCACAGTGCAACTAGCGCCATTAGTGATACCAACTTCTCCAGGAAAGAAACATTCGATAAGCCACGGACATGACAAAGCTGGAGACATGCCCGGGGTGGGAGAGCCCAAGTGCCAGCACGCTGCCTCCCCGGGGGGCTTCTGGAACTCGGGGCTCCAGTTCTGTCCTCGAGGGTAGAACCTGCTCGCTGCGCAGTGGCTGAAAGCACGGCTTCTCTGAGCCCTGCCAGCCCCGACACGGCAGCACACAGGCTGAGAGCTGCGGGGAGAGGCGTCCTCAGCCCACCTCCCGAGGTACCAGGCTCGGGGAGGGGCTATCGTGCAGCTTGGAGTACCCGAGAGTGTGGGCAACGGGGCCATGGCACAGCACACGGGGCCACGGCACACGGGGCCACGGCACACGGGGCCACGGCACATGGGGTGGGGCATGCGCAACGGGGATGGAGAAAAGGGGAGGAGCCGGGGTTGGCAGAGGCCGCGGAGGCTCAGGGACTTACCTGTGGAGGCCCCGATGGCACCGATGAGCACGGACGGGAGAGCCATAACCAGGCACCCAAAGGCGGCCAGGATGGACAGCACCTGAGCGTAGGTGGCCGAGGACGAGGACAGCACCCTCTGGAAGTAGGCCTGCCACGGGATTCCGCCCAGCGTCTGCACCAGAGCCCGGGAATGGAAGGGCAGTTAACGACCGCTGTGCTGGGCGTGGGCTTGCTAACACCCGCCTCTCCGGGGTCCCAGGGCGGGCTGCGGGGCGTGAGAAAACGCCCGCCCTGCGTGTGCATCGCGGCTGCGGCCCGCGGCACTGTGCTCGGCCGGCCGCTCGCTCCGAAGTGCGCCGAAGCTGGCCGGGTTGGTGAGGCCCACGGGGGACCCTGGGGCGGGCCTGGCTCCCCGGCACTGAGCAGCCGGTCCCTCGCCTACCCCGCCACCGCTGGAGCAGGGCGAGGACGCGAGCCCGGTGTTTCCCGCCACCACATGTGGCCACGCTACCATCCGGCCTTCCAGCACGCAGAATTGCGCGATCATTCCCCGCAGAGGCCTGCCCTTTCCTGCCTTCGTTTTATCTACTTTACGCTGCTCTCAAACTGCCTTCAAGTTTTCAATGTTCTCATCCAGAAGTTTCAATCCTTAGAAGATATTTTCACCATAATTAAGATTCTAAAAGCGCGAAGGAAAGCCGAGTCACGCCAGCCCCGCCCAAGGCCAGCGGAGGGCCACGCCAGAGCTGGAGCTGGCGCCCCTGCCCGCACTCGGGGGCAGCAGGGCAGAGCTCCTGCCCGCGCCCGTGCCACCCGGCTTGACCGACGACAGGCGTGCGAGTCACTGACGGACGCACACTGCCGGAGTGTGCTGAGGAATTACACTCAGGATTGTCTGGAGACACTGACCACAGTGGGCCGTCTGCGTCCCCGCAGAAGTCCACAGAAGTGGAACACGCAGGGATGTTTTGGGGTGACCGGGGTGGCAGGAGGACAGCAGAATGGAAAGCCTACAGACGTGGCTCGGAATCAGTCCTCGCACACCCAGCAGAGGCCCCAGCTGGAGCCTGGGGAGAGGGGGGTCCCATGCTACAGGGAAAGGAGACTGCACCCATAGCCAGCTGTGAGCCGCTGCCAGGCAGGCTGGCTCCGGCCACTCCTCCGCCGCAGAGCTTGGGCTCCTCTATAGAAAGGAGCCCACTGTGTCACAGAGCACCGAGGCTTCCTTAGGCGCCCGCCTCTCCCGCTGGGTCTGAGCCCAGGCGTCCTGCCATCTGTTGTCCTCTCACCCGTGCAAGCACAGTGCCCGACACACGGCTTCCAAACCATCTCCTTCCTAAAGGGAACTGTACGTGCTCAGAAATAAAATAACAGAGCCAAAGGAAGCCGTTGTAAGATGCAGTTGTGCTCCTCAGGTCTATGTTCTTCTGAATCTTTTTCTTTCTTTTCGCAACTCGTAAGCCAGTATCTTATTAACTCTTCCAAAGTCCAAGACAGGCAGGAACTGGTGCACCCTGAGGACACACCAGCTGCCTGCTGTTGGGTCACCAGAAGCTCCTTCCCTTTTGTGCTTCTAGGCAAGGTGAGCTCTGGCCTTTTTACAAACACACTGGATGTCTGTGTCCCCCCAGAGCTCACACACTGGAAAGCTAATCTGAGTGGGCAGTCTCCAGAGGGCTGCAGCCCGCAGGGAAGGACCAGGTACACAGGAAGGGATCAGTGTCCTGAGGAGAAGGGCCATGGGGCTCCCTCCCCTTTCCTCTCAGGAGAAAAGAAAGGACAGAGACAGCCCGAGCAAGCACCAAGCACCAAGCAGCAAGCACCGAGCACTGGAAGAGCAACCCTAGAGCCTGCCCCACGGCCTGGCTCACTTCCTGTGGAACACAGCTCTGCTCCTCGTGCTCTCTGCAGCCCTAGTGCCTGGGACAGAAGGCAATCCGGGAAGTGAGCTTGGAGGAGACTGTGCTGAAATCCAGCAAAGCACCATCAACTCAGTCATGAAGTCCTGTCAGCAGCGCTCCCAAGAGGAGACAAAGCAAGCCTTCTCCCTCCATTGTGATGCAGTTAGTAGCCCAGGCCTGTGCTGAAACCAAGTGAGTGCTGCCTTCAGCGCAGCCCCATCAGCAGTCCTGAAGGCTGCAAGGCTGTGTGGGGTCTCCCTCTTCCTGAGCAGCGGTCCTTGCAGGTGCCTCTCCTGGCTGCCACCCTGAGCCTCTACTTCCCTTCCAAGTACTTCTTAGTGCTTAGGGCCTGTGGAAACTAATTCCCTTCCTTCACAACTGAGAATGCATGAGTTATCCATTTCAGAATAACTGGCTCTCAGTGCCTTAATCCAGAACCCAGACCACAGCTTTCAGGAGGCCTGGCCTCAGGCAGGGAGTCCTGGAAATGCCTTCCAGGTCAGGAACTTCTGGACCCCAGCCCCAGGCCAGCCACGGCTTACCAGCAGCAGGAAGTTGTCCAGCCAGGTGTAGACCTCGAAGGGCTCGATGGTTCCCAGCCAGGGATCCTGGAACTTTGCGTGCACTGCCGTGAACCCGATGTCGGCCACCGCGGGGTGAGACAGGGCGAAGGGGACGCTGATCCACTGGACAAGAGCAACATGTGGCCTTAGTCTGGCTTTGAGATCCTGGGGTGAGGGGACTGACAGGCCTCCTGCCCACAGAGGCACAGCCCAGAGCTGCTCGGGAGGAGGACTACAGGCCACGCTGCCTGTGCCTCTGTGATGCACTGGCTCGGAGAAGCTGAAACTACACGACCGCCTCCCGGGGAAAGGTCCAAAACACAAATTCAAAATGCAGTTTCTAACTATATGCAACATTGTAGCAGGACAGTCCTATGACATTTTTTTTTCTTGTCTGTTTTCATTTATTACCCTAGCCCTTCAAGGTCAGTGAGGACTCAGGACACAGGAGAACCTGTACTGTAACATGCTGTAACTCAGTGATATCCCAAATTTTCTGATCAAGGAGATTATGGGGCCACAGAGGAAAGTGATCGATGATGTAGAGTGGGCCTAAGGAGAGTCACATGGGGAGAAAACATTCTCTCAGGCTTTCACAGAGAGCACATTGGCCAAGCAATGGCCATGACTCATCCACTTGGCTTACACTGACGAAAGATCTACAACCTAACCATCCATCAGAAAAGTATAAAAACGAGGTATAAAATGTAAAGTCATATTAATATGCTGAGCTGTAAAAGGCTCAAGTCAACAACTTCTGACATTGCCAGTTCTTTGGATAACCCACTCCTATTATGGACTACTGGACTATATTGGATTACTTTGCTTAATTCAGGCACCTACAATATTTGAATGGCAATGGAATACCCATCTCTGACAAAAGTAAACAAAAAAGGGAGATATAAATGAAGGACCATATTGTAGTGAAAAAATATATCTATATACAAAGTAGGATATACAGCTACTTTCTCTTAGTTCAGTGAGAAGAAAGATTCGTACTAACAGTGTTTAGACAAGATATCATGTCTGCATCTTGTACTATGAATAACTACTACAAAGACAACAATATGCAATGTATTAATTATTGTAACTGTCCTACTAACCTGTTTTGAAACTATCTCAATGCTAATTCTTTCTCAATAACATTAACATAAAAAACAAGTTTCTGCAAGAGACAGGAAAAGGAATATTGTGGGGGGTCCTGCTTCAAGGTTGTATATGGTGAGATTTTTGGACCTATGGGCAAACATGAGAAGTATAGAATTCTTTATCCTATTTTTAAAATATAATCTAATTTTTAAGTGTTTTTTATCATATTATGTAGGGACTTAAAGTTCAACATATCAATCCCCTCAGGATTTCACTGACCTTCTCAGACCAAAAAGCTACAACTCTTATTGCACAGGTCCTGCTTTACCTTGGTCTTATCCATCCAGTAGAAAAGTATGAAGATGAAATATAGGAAGTAAAATGCAGTGAGATAGTGAGGTTAAGCTTAATAGCCTAAATCATTTGATCATAACAATAAGCTTGTCTTCTGGATGGTTAACAACCTAAGTTTGCAGACCAAAACTAGAGAAAAAGGAGGGCTACAAGGAAAGCCAACATTTTGGCCCTAGCCTTCTAAGGTCAATTAAGACTCAGGACATATGAGAACTTGTACTGTAACGTCATGTACCTCGGTAGTGTCCCACATTTTCTGATCAAGAAGATTATGGGGCCAAAGAGGAAAGTGATTGATGACGTAGAGTGTGCCTAAGGAGAGTCACATGGAGAGAAAACCCTCTCTCAGGCTTTCACAGAAAGCACATTGGCCAAGCAATGGCTGTGACTCATCCACATGGCTGCACTGACAAAGGTTCTACAATCTGAGGTACAGGATCTCAGGATAAATCCTGATGGGATTTCACTGACCTTCTCAGACCAAAAAGCTACAACTCTTATTGCACAGGTCCTGCTTTACCTTGGTCTTATCCATCCAGTAGAAAAGTATGAAGACGAAATATAGGAAGTAAAGCCATGCTGTTATGTTGAGCTGTGGGGGACTCAGGTCAATAATTTCTGACATTGCCAATTAAACAGAAGACCCAAGGCTATTATGGGCTACTGGACTCTTAGAATATTTTGCTGAGTTTACACACCTATAATATTCAATAACGGAACTTAGAAAAAATAGGGTGTACAGATGAATGTCCATTTTGTATCTGTGTATTCAAAGTGGTTAGGATAGACATATAGTTGCATTCTCTTAATGAATAGAATGATTTGTTCTAATGGTGTTTGTAAATAGGATCTCAAGTCTGCATCTTGTACAGCAATTAACCACAAAGAAGAATATGTGCAGTGTGTTATTTGTTGAAATTGTACTTCCGATTTGATTTGAAACTGTCTCATTGTTGTTTATCATAAAATTTTGGAAAAAAAAAATAAAGTTTCTACTTGTAAAGCTGTGAACTCCTGAGGTGAACTGCAGAAAGCGGAGGTCCCTCTGTGTGCTCTGTGCATGCACCTGTCTTCAGGAGCAGGTTGGGTGGCGCATGGGCAGCTTAGGAAGAGGGAGAGATGAAGACAGCCACGTGCAGACACCCAGGCTGTAAGCTGAAGGCTTTGGTCTTCTTTGGCAGGCACCTAGAAGCTAGAGGGTCCCTTCTGAGTGCTGAAAAGGCTTCAGAGAGATTTCCTCTGGACTTAGGTGTTGTAGCTGGGAACAGTGGGAAGGTGCCCTAGGTCCTGTCAGGGCCCCCTGAACAGCCTCAGCTGCCACAGCGCTGTCCAGATGGGAATGTGCAGGAGGGAAAGGAGGGTGGAGCAGCCAGCAGCCTTCAGTCCTGGGGTGCAGGGAGCCAGAGGGGTAGGGGACACAGGCCTCACACGGACTTGAGGTCCCACTGCTGATGATAAAATCCATCCACCACTCGAGGGTCTGAGAAGAGCCGGTGTGAGGAGTAAGTGGATCACCTATGTCTACATGTGCAGTAACTAAAGCTTAGAATACAAACATTCACGGTTCAATGTCTTAACTAAGTGACCCCTAGAACTTCGTTCCTGATCAAGGCAGATTTCATAGCAGAAAGCTGCTAGTGTGTGCCCCGCCGCCTCGCCCTGGCACGCTTGATTTATGTGCTGTGTGCTTCGAGCTCCGTCTCGTGCGAGGCAGGCAGGCGGGCGGCACATACATCATCCGCTAATGGCTCTGGCTCCCGGGGCGCGTTTCCTGGAATAACAAGCATACTCCTCCTCAAGCCGTACGCCAAGCTAACCTCACCCCGACCTACCGGAGGGAGATTTATTTCTGTGTTCTCTGGTTTATCTTTGGAAGTTTATGATGATATTCATAAATATCAGAATTTCTGCACTGCCCACCTAATTGTGACAATTTCAGAAGAAAAGCATGAGAGGTGTTGAACAAATTAATGGAGTAAATGGCATTCCATAAAATGCAAACAGAATATCAAGAAGAAAAGAAAAGGAGTAATTGTTGGCACATATTAATTTATACTTAAACTATAAATGTTTCTCTGGCACATCACTGCAGATGTTAGAAAGTTAAACGAGGATATGAGCTCATTCTTCATTTTTCATCTCTAAGTGTCTGATCTAAAAGTTAAAGGAGATGGAAAGCTTTTCACTATAAAAGATAAAGAAGATAAGGAAAACCAATGGACTTCAGCTGCCTTTGGAGGCAAAAGTCAGGACCTGCTTGCTCTCTGTGCTTCCACATGAGGACTCTGACCCCTGGGAAGCGAAGCTCAGGTGATCATGAGATGGATGAGATCGCAAGCATGCACCCACCTGGTGGATGACCCAGGACGCAAGAAGGATGGGGTGGACACAACCATGGGTGTGGGCCTGGCACAGCCACATGCTGGACAAGATCACGCGGGTGGACCCACATCATGGCTCATGCCTAGGTGTGCCCCAGAGTCTTGTGCACTTTTATTTTATTTTATTTTTTATTTTTTGTTTTGAAACATTTAAATTTGTTTTTTTTTTAATTTTATTTTTTTATTTTTATTTATGTATTTATTTATTTATTTATTTTTATTTTTCAACAAATAATACACTGCATATATTCTTGTTAGTGGTTAATTGCTGTACAAGATGCGGACTTGTGATCCTATTTACAAACACCATTAGAACAAATCATTCTATTCATTAACAGAATGTAACTATATATCTATCCCAACCACTTTGAATACACAGATACAAAATGGACATTCATCTGTATACCCCATTTTTCCTAAGTTCCGTTATTGAATATTATCGGTGTGTAAACTCAGCAAAATATTCCAAAAGAGTCCAGTAGCCCACAATGGCATTGGGTCTTCTGTTTAACTGGCAATGTCAGAAATTATTGACCTGAGTCCCCCACAGCTCAACTTAACAGCATGGCTTTCTTATAATTTCGTCTTCATACTTTTCTACTGGATGGTTAAGACCAAGGTAAAGCAGGACCTATGCAACAAGAGTTGTAGCTTTTTGGTCTGAGAAGGTCAGTGAAATGCCCTCAGGATTTGTCCTGAGATCCTGTATTTCAGATTGTAGAACCTTTATCAGTGCAGCCATGTGGATGAGTCACGGCCAATGCTTGGCCAATGTGCTCTCTGTGAAAGCCTGAGAGTGTCTTCTCCCCATGTGACTCTCCTTAGGCCCACTCTATGTCATCGATCACTTTCCTCTTTGGCCCCATAATCTTCTTGATCAGAAAATTTGGGACACTACCGAGGTACATGACTCTTGTGCACTTTTAGATGGGGCTTTTCCAGAGGCAGCTGAATCTAGAGTTCGTGATTGATTCATAGTTCAGCACTAGGGTTAAGGGTGCTGGGATTAAGGGTGGGTGATTGTTGGATCTGTCCACTGGTTGGACTACACTGACCTGATCCCAGCAGTCTGGGTATGACAAAAGTGGCAGAAAGAAGCTTGCTTTCTACTTTTGCTCTTGCTACTCTTATGCTTTCTCCCACCATGAGCTGTTGCCCGTCATGTGCCACCCTGCCTTGGAGCCAGCTGATTATGGACTAAAGCCTCTATAACTGTAAGCTAAATAAACCTTTCAACTTTTATTTATTTTATTTTTTATTTACTTATTTATTTTGTGGAAATGGGAATTGAACTCAGGCTTTTGTGCTTGCCAGGGAAGCACTTATTCTACTGAGCCACCTCCCTGCCCCACTTTTAGCTTTGGGTTTAAGCCAGGTATTTTGTTTCAGAAATGAGAGAAAAGTACTAAGACAACTGGGATGGCCACGTGTTGGAGGAGATCATGAAAGGGGACCCAGGATGGTCACATGTTGGAGATCTGCATGTGGACCCAGGATGGCCACAGTTGGAGGAGATATGCACGTGGACCTGGTCTTGTGTGGAGGAGGTCAGGAATGAGGACCTGACAGCCAATAGCAGAGTGGACATCCTCCCTTCTATCCTTCTGACATATCTTAGGTGCTGGGCACTGTTGTTCACCCAATGATAATCTCCATGTTTTAAAATAGGAGTCTGCAAAGAGTAACATCGACTAGAGTGTGTGTGAGGCGCAGGAGGACTTGCAGCGTAACCGGCTGCACTCGTGCAGCATGCTCTGCAGCACTCCCCGCCACACCCAACACACACGCGTTACCTGGCTCAGTCCAGAGCTGAGATGAGAAATACTTACTAAGCCCTTTGCTTCTGGATCCCAGAGAAGAGGAATATTTGGAATCCACAGTTTTCCCAGTGGGGTAATTTCTGAGTCCCATGGCTAGTCTCACAGATAATATGCTAACACAGGAACGTAAGAGCCATGTACAAGTTAGCACTAAAATCCAAGTTTTGCTAACACAAAGAAAAGTGTGTTGCAGCTAGTTCCCAAAGAGAATCATGCAAGTTTTCATCAAATTTAGGAAGGAGGAAAAAGAAGACCTAGACCCTTTCAACAGTTAGACTTGGGGACACTTTTCCGTCAAAACTTGTGAAAACGATTAGAGTTTTTACTTAAATCATAGAAAAATGATTTAGACTTTAAAAGACTATGCAACTTACTGTTTATTACTATGGTGGAAAATAAAGGGGCCAGCCAGACAGCTCAGTGGACTGAAGTGCCTGCTTAGGCAGAGTGCAGCGGCCAGGGTTCGATCCCCAGTGTGCCGTGCTGCCCCGCCCCCAGGACGCGCTGAGACAGCGATTGAAACTGGGCATGGAGGTGTGCACCAGTAATCCTAGTGCTTTGGAGGCTGAAAATGAGACAATTGCTATGAGTCCCATCTATGTAGTGAGACCCTGTAGACTCTGTATCAAATACATAAAAAAAAAAGAAAAGAAAAGAAAATGTCTACTGGGGCCAGAAAGATGGCTCAATACAATAAACGATTCCCTGGCAAGCAAGGGCCTGAGTTCAATGCTTGGGTCTGGAAAAAAAAAAAAACCAAATGCCTTCCCACTTTTGTTGTCACTGTAAGACGTCATCCTTATACAATAAGCCACAGTGTCACATCACATAGATCTATAAGATCACATTCTTCTTTCCTTACACAGAAAAAGGAAGAAAGTCTGCAGCGGAACCACTTACCAGTCCGAGGAAGATGCAGAAGAGCTGCACAACGTCTGTGTAGGCCACTGAGTAGAGGCCGCCCACCAGCGTGTACAGCGTGGCGATGAGCGCGGACACGATGACAGACACGTGCATGTCCACGTCGATGATCACGCTGATGGTGGCACCTGAAAGCCAGAGACGGGGTCAGTGAGGCAGTGGGCAGGCATGCCGTGCCAAGAAAGGCAGCTGGGGCAACCGCTGGCGAGGGACGTCAGATCTAGAGATAGCTACTCCTGCTTCCCGAGGTGTTTTCCTAACTTGTTCATGTTGAAATCAGCTGGGTGAGTAAAGAATACCCGAGGCGCTGGCTCCAGAACTCACGACGTTCTCCTCAGGCCTCCAACTCTGACACAGCTGAACACATGCAGCATATTTACTCGCTCCACAGGAAAATGTGAGCGCAGTGGAGACCATTTCCACGTGGTACAACGAGTATCTGGTTGCTGCTTTGCAACTAAGTAAGTGTCTGACTTGTGAATGAGCTCTGTTTTGGGAGAAATGCTCACAAGTTGGGTTCACTCATAAGCCGGCAAAGTGAGTCGCACACGAGACACCTGCGGAAGGTGCAACTCGAATGTCCGTAACTCGGGGACTAGACCAGCCTGTGGTTGTGGGCAGGGCTGTGAGCACCAAGACTGAGACAGGCTTGTAAGGGTATTCTATCAACTTCTCTTCCCAAGAAAAATCACTTCAACTTTATTTACTTGGTGGGACAGTCCATGCCTCCTCCCAGGATGCCATGTGCTTGAAGAAACCACTTTAAATGTCACCTTTTATAGTAATTTTCTTCATCTAATTGTTAGGCCAGCCCTGGAAATCAAGGGAACTTATCTTACTTTATGACTTTGTGTGCTGTGTTTGGTGGTGCCTATATGTTCACTGAAAACATGTGGCACAGGCAGTTGGGACAGCTGCAGTGCTTGGGCTGTGGCCTCCTGACTTGCCATGGCCTCCTGACTCGCCGTGGCCTCGGGACTCGCCGTGGCCTCCTGACTCGCCGTGGCCTCGGGACTCGCCGTGGCCTC